TAGGTGTATCTGTGTATATATATATATAGATAGATATGTATATATGTACATGTATACATGCAAGCACATATCTAATGAGCCGCGGTCTGGACGCCCGGTTTCTGCACGTAAGGCCCCTGATTATCCCTCCCCCCCTCCTCACACCCCTAAACCCTACAACCCTAAAAAACCCTAAAATCCTAAACCCCACCAAACCCTAAAACCCTGAAGCCTAAAGCCGTAAACCCCTAAAGCCCTGAAGCCCTAAAACCCCTAAACCTTAAAACCCCTAAAACCCTAAAACCCTAAAACCCCCAAAACCCTAAACCCCCAAAACCCCTACAACCCCTAAACCTTAAAATCTCTAAAACCCCTAAAACCCTAAAATCCCCAAGACCTAAAACCCTAAAACAACCCTAAAACCCTAACCCCCCCCGCCCCCGCCAAGCCCGGCATGAACTAAGGTTCGATGCAGCTGCCGTGGCTTCGTCGTTGAATGGGTTTTTAGGGTTTGGGGGTTTTAGGGTTTAGGGTTTCGGGTGCACTTTACACTTTTTTTGGGGCATGATATGACCCCCGTATGAAGCTGAAATTGTACAATTTTTTGGCATGGTATGACACCCTATAGAACTGAAAGTTTATAAGCTTTTCTGGGCTTATGAACCCAACAACTAAGGTGGAAAGCAGCTTTGTCTGGCCATTGGGGGAAGCGTCGCAGTTCTTGGAGCCTTCTTGGCCGTCTTTCTGTCCCTGTCATCTTCGAAGACTCCTCTTCCTCACTGTCCACCGCCGGAAACTGGCAGGATCAGCATCGAACTGCAACCGGTAGAGCCAAGAGTAGGCATGGATCCAGGTGGGCAGGATCAGCGCTGCTCAGACGAGCAGCCGAGCCTCTTCAGCAAGATCCTTCTGGACGTCACGCGCATCTGCAACACGTCGCAGCCGGCAGATGAGCAGGATTGCAGCATCGTGTATCACACTGCATACATGTACCTTGGTGCTCTAGGTTAGGGGCTTAGTGGCAGCAGCAAGATCAGCAAGATGTTTTCGCGGTGTTGCACCCGGCTTTTCGTAGCTAGTGCTGAGGAACTGGAGTCCATGCAACGTTTCCCCCAAGTCCTCACCCTAAAGCCATGGATTCAACGCACCAAAGGAGCCAAATCCCTGCGAGCCCGATGATCCACAGTTTAGGGTTTTAGGTTTAGGGTTTACCTGAGCCCCAAATAACCTACCTTTTTAGGGACTTATATTTCGGACTTACATAAAGAAATCATAATAAGGAACCCTAAAAAGGTAGGCAGGGGTTAGGAGGCCCGTTGGCTCTGAAGCCGCAGCCTAAGCCCTCAGGTACTTGGATGCAGAACATGAGATCGATGTCACCTTGAACTTCAGCGACCAGACGCCAGGGACGGGACGTTGGGACTTTTTTCAAGTGACGGCCATCCTTCATCAGAATGGCTGCAATGCACAGTTAGAGCTGAGCAAGTACGAGACTGCGGATTGCTTAGAGGGCAACGCGTCTCATCCCAATTTCGAGGTGGGGCGGGGGGTTCTTTTGAGTTTTTGTAGGTTTGCTCTATAATATGGTTGCATAAGGTTGCCTATTACATGGCTACATGTTCGAGGTCACCTTCCACACCCTCAAACTTAACGCCCTCAATCCGAGATTTGAATCCAGCTTAACCCTTAGCATCAACGTCGCCCAAAAGCCTTATACAATAGTGTCTGGGCCCAAAAGCCCTTTGAGGGTAAGGGTAAAACCTAAAAGCCCTAAAACCCTAAACCCTAAACGCTAAACCCTAAACCCTAAGCAAAGCTTAATGGAGCAACCCACAGGTCAGCGTCGACCCGTTGGGTCGCATACCGGCGCACGCCACGACGCAGCTGACCTGCATCAGCCGGCAGAGGGCCGACGATGCACCGACAGGGCGGTCTGTGCGCATTGCGGACTCCTATAAGAGTCTAGGTGGCAATTTCGGGAAACTTTATATAAAAAGATTTCCTATGGTTTCTATAGAGGCACCAATTCATAAATACTTTTTCGGGGCCCCCAAAACTACAACCCAGGAGTGTACAGCCTGGTTGCAGGATAGGAAGCCGCAGGGAAGTTCACAAGGCCTTCCGAGACATCTGAGCCTCGATGCCCCAGATCCAGGACATTTTCAGGTGGGTAGTTTCCGTTATATTTTTCCTTATAGAAGGTCTATATACCTTATAGAAGCCCTATAGACCCTAAACTCCCCACCTGTAGTTTCATTTAAGCAGACCCTCAACCCGACGGTTCATGATATAAGTTCTGCATTGCAGTACCCATAGTAAGGAATATACCATAACTCCCATACTTTAGGGTCCCTTAATGAGGTAAAGCAGGATTCCTAAACCATAAACCCGTAAAAAACTAAACCCCTACATAAGCCCTAAAGCCGAAACCCCTAAAACCCTGAACCCAATTAAAGGTAATGCAGGATTTTAATAAGGAAGATACCATAATTCCCATAGCTTAGGGTCCTTTAAAGGTATATGCGAAGGATTTATATCATCAACAGTACTACAAAGGTCTCCAGGACGTCTTTCGTCCCGAGACCCCAAAAACCGCTACTAGAGAGGTCCCATCAGCCGCAACATGCCCAGTATAGAATTTTGTCGGTTTAGGGTTTAGGGTTTTAGGGTTTAGGGTTTAAGGGTTTTTTGGGGCTTAGGTTTCAGGGTTTAGGATTTTGGGGTTTTAGGGTTTAGATACTATGTATCTGTACCCGACTAAAAACCCGGATATTCTTGGAGGCCTCTATTGAGGCCGGCAGCGAACTGCCGACGATCGGAGAGTGCAAAAGAAGGTGCTGAAGGTTCCCGTAAGGGTCCAAAGGACCTACAGTAGAAGCCCAAAAGTTGGAAACCCAAAAGCCTCAATCCTTAAGAGTAATGAGTAATGTATAGGGAATCCCAGCACTATTTGTCCTTAATCCGGTTTCCAACTTTCTGGGGTTTAGGGTAATAATAATCATGTACTTAGGCTACGGATACTAGTTTTGTAGGTTAGTACTCAGAAGAGTATATGATTATTAGGTACTTGGACCCTTAGGGAACTAGGCGGGGCTTCAACACTACTGTTGATGATAGAAAATCCCTGCATTACCTTGAGGGCCCTAAACCATGGGAACTATGGTATACCCATAGGCCCCTAAGCAGTTCCTTTTTGGGATGACCTTACAGGATTCTGATTATACACCATAAAAGGAACTACTTACGAGCCTATGGGCATTCCTTATTACGGGTAATGCAGGATTTGTATCATCAACCGTATCCAGAAGAAGGGGTTATTTCTGGGCATCTTTAAGGTTCCCCAAACCCTTCCCAAAATCGCAGAATGAAGGAATAGCCCTACAGATATAGTAGGAGTAATTAATGTGGTTTAAGGTAGATTCCTTAAGGGTTCATGCCTTTTTTCTTCGCAACATGCCGTTGTCGCTACCAAACCTCGGCGATTGCAACATGCATTCGTGGCTCTTTATTGAGCTGTCCAAGACTTGTAAGACCCCTCCCCCACCTTCTGAAACCATACGCTTTGAGAAATGAGCCCAAACCACCTCACACCCAAGCCATAGAATTCCTAAAGCCTGAACCCTAACCTAAAGCCTCAACCGCAAGACCTCATACCCCAAAAACCTTCAATACCCTAAGTCGTTTACCTCAAGAACCTACAGCCTTCAAAAACCTGAGAATGTCCCAAAACTCTCCAAAGCCCTGGACAGGCCATTTTCGTCCGAAGGGAGCTTTCTCTTGTCCTCCTGCTCGCCCACGAACCCAGAGCGTGTGTGGGGTTTAGGGTTTGGGGTTTAGGATTTAGGGTTTAGGATTTAGGGTTTAGGGTGTAGGATTTAGGGTTTAGGGTTTAGGACCTATAAGGGTTG